CCTCCTCGCACTTGTATAGCAAGTGCTTTAACCACAGAGCCATCTCCCCAGCCCCATAGATAATTTAAAATATATTTAATATAGCTGGGTGTGGTGGCACATGCCTTTAATCCTAGCACTCAGGAGGCAGAGGTAGGCAGATCTCTGTGAGATCAAGCCCGGCCTGGTCTACATAGCAAGCTCTGGAACAGCTGGAGCCTCAGAGAGACCCTGTCTCAAAAAATCATAAAAATTAACATAATTTGAAAGATAGTAAGGCATAAGCAGTAGGGAAGAGTATTAAATCAAGCAGGTGTACTCCTTCCCATGTACACCTCAAGGGGAGTTTACTGTAAATAGACACACAGACCATGGTATTCACCAACAGCAACGCTACATGTGCAAAATCCATCATCGTTGCCCCACCAGGTTTTCTGATAGGAAGCTTTTTAATGGATTCCTTCATTCTCACAGCCCCAGTGTAAAATCGTGAAACCCCTCTTTGCGGTTGAGCACACAAGTGAGGCGATCTGGGCTTTAAGTTTGGCTCTACTGCCAACCAAGTGCTGTGAAACTCAGGGTAAATCAGACCCCTCCCACGGGGCTTTGTGTCAGCAGATGAGGAGAGAATCAACACCCTGTGGTTCACCTTTCCTTTCTAACGCAGTCAAATCCAGGCACTAGCTACCATCCATTCTTCCTGCCATCCTCCCTCTCCGTTCTTTATTTTATTTTTATTTTTGCTTATACCTCAGCTTTCTCTCTCCTGCATGTTTATCACAGACAAAATCACCATTCCTGGATTACTGCAAAAAGTTTTCAAGCTGTTAGTTATTGATGTGACTCAAAAACATTTTGGTTTTCCTCTCCTCAAACTGTTGCAGGCTATTGCCATTGCTCATGGTTGCTCTGCTGAATGGCTTTAGTGTCAAAAGTCAGTAAGCAGTGTTCCTGCATGGCCTGTGCTCCATCTCCTGCCTCCAGGTTCCTGCCCTGAGTTCCTACCTTAGGCTCCCTCAGTGATGAACTGTGACCCGGAAGATGTAAACTGAATAAACGCTTTCTTCCCCAAGTTGGTATTGGTCAAAGTGTTTTGTCACAACAATGGAGAAACAAACTAGAACAGTTTCCCACCAGAACTTGTTGGTAACACCCGATCCCTGAAGACATCACACACTTCAGTCACAAGATTTTGAGAAATTCAGCTGGTACTGAACTACAAGCTTCTTCCCTGCTGGCCACTTCCCAAAGCACCTCTAATGCTTCTAATGACTGAGGTCATCAGCATTCTTGTCCAGCTGTGAACCCTGTGAGCCACAGTAATGACCAGCCTGGCAAGATGTGTCCACAGGTGCAAGAGTGACATGAATGCTATGGGGTGACCAACTGCTTTCTGATTGGATTTAAGGTGTACTCCACAGGAGGAAACTGTCACACAGATGAATCGGATTCAACATATCAACTTTTGGTGTGATACAACATTCTAACCACAGCACTGCCTGACACTCAGCCTCTCCACACACACCCTCTGTCTAATATTGTTGTCAGCCTGACTCTTCCTAACATACTTTACCTTTTTAAAAATAAATTTTATTCTCAAACTTTTCTAAAGTCATTTTCTTCCACAGTCAGTAATCTTTCTTTTTTCCACTGTTATGTTAATATTTGTAACATACCAATACTTATAATGCAAATAATCATTCACTTTCCTAACTCGCAGAGAGAGTGAGAGTTTTATGTAAACATAAAGGGATGATATGTGAAAAACTTTAACCAATACTAATGGAAGAATATATAGATCATGAATTATTTTATCATTTCTTCCTAAATTTTTTTTATAAATGTTATAACTTCATTGTTGATTATAAGTTTTGCAAATATTCAATTGGTTATCTTTCCTATGAGAATATCTACTTCTAAATTATTTTAGAATATTTAATAAGAATAATATATTTTCAGGCTGGAGAGATGGTTCAGTGGTTAAGAGCACATACAGCTGTTACAGAGAACCAGAGCTTGGTTCCCAGAACCCACATCAGGCAGCTCACAATAGCCTGGAACTCCAACTCCAGGAGCTGATGCCTCTCTTCTGGCCTCTGTGGGTGTCTGCACTCATATATATGAATAAAGTAAAATCTCTCTCTCTCTCTCTCTCTCTCTCTCTCTCTCTATATATATATATA